CTCTCTCTCTCTCTCTCTCTCTCTCTCTCTCTCTCTCTCTCTCTCTCTCTCTCTCTCTCTCTCTCTCTCTCTCTCTCTCTCTCTCTCTTCTGTGCGTGTTTGTATGTAAATTTTATAGCCAAACCGTCAAAAGACATTCTCCTGTGTCTGTTAAGCTGTCATTAGTTCTTCACTGCATGGAGCTGCACTTGCACCCTGTTCTCTTTTGTCTATGTTTTGTCCTGCCACAATTCGACCTTGGCAAACTGCATTTTTTCAGAGTCACTCCATCAGTCCATGTCTTCCCCTCATTACAGCAGGGGAATCCCGTCGCAAGAAGCATTGATTGCTCCCTTTGTGAGAGAAGCTATTCACTGGTGGATAAGCCCCTGCCAACCGGACGCTGAAGCCTAACCTTCCTTTTTTTTTTTTAACCTTCCTTTTTTTTTTTTTTTTAACCTTCCTTTTTTTTTCAAACCTTCCTTTCCCTAGGGAGGTATGCATTTAAACAACTTTTTATGCTGCATAGGACGCATACAGCATTCTGAATGGAATGATAATTTGAGAAATTAGTAAGTTACTGATTAGTAATTACTAATTAGTTCATGGGGAAAATGTGTCCGCAGTTGACACCCGGTTAACGGAGGGCTGAATTTTTGCCGATTCCGGCGACAGGTTCGGTGCAAAATTCAGCAAAAAAATCAAAAACAAACTATATGGGTCCAATCCCATAGTGCAAACATAAAAAAAAAAAAAAAAGAGGCCAAAGAAAACGGGAAAAAAAAAAGAAAAAGAAAAAAATGCAAAACACTAAAATTTGGTAAAACCCTAACACAAACACACTCTCCGTTAAAATGAAGTGTTCAACGAATGCAATGAAATGCCAACTTTTTCATTAATGATCCAAAGTTCCAAACATGTCAAAACTGGACACGTGGCATACCCTAAAGCACGTACATACCATACATAAAGAAAACAAAAAAAAAAAAGCAAAAAATCAGGGCAATATGACAATTTCACTGTTTCACTGCATAAGTCGGCGGAAAAAAAAAAAAAAACTGGTTAACCACGTGTGCCGGCTGCAGTTTGATGTTGTCGTCTTAGAATGATAATTGTTTCCATTTGTTGTTGAGGTCTGCATTTCAAGTGTGTCTTTCCTAATGCTTTTTTCTACTTGGGGACTTCTTTTGCAACTAACTACTCTGTCCTTCTCTTTCTGTGTTTCCGTCTATGTTGCCTTTCTTCTTGTTCGGTTGATTCAGTCTCCTTCCTCTGCTTCCTCGCTCTCTTTCTTCAATTTGATCGCCAGTCTCTGTTCTCTCTCTCCGTGTCATTTCCATTCTGACGTCTTTCCTTTCTGCTGGTTTTCTTTGAGTGCCTCATTTCTCTTCGATGGCTTCAGTTCCGATTCGCACGGGGACGTCTATTCGGCGGATTGCCAAATCCGCAGATGGGTCATTCGAGATATTTGCAGGAAGAAAGGGCAGCGGTGGCAGCGCAGAGTACAACTCCAAGAATACCCCTCCATCATTCCGGGCGGACTATGTTTTGCTTGCAACTGGTGGCACTAGGCAGGTTGTCGACCCTATACTGTACAGATGCAACACATCTATTGTTACATATATGGGCACACACATACGGAGCACGTGTAATACGCCATGTATTATGCCATATGCACACACTCCACACACACGGAAAGCATGTATCATTACATATGTGCACACTGCACACACTGTGACACACACGGAAAGCATGTATTATTGTTATATGTGCACACTGCACACACTGTGACACACACGGAAAGCATGTATTATTGTTATATGTGCACACTGCACACACTGTGACACACACGGAAAGCTTGTATTATTACACATGTGCACACTGCACACACTGTGACACACACGGAAAGCTTGTATTATTACACATGTGCACACTGCACACACATGGAAAACATGTATTATTACATATGTGCACACACACACACACACACACACACACACACACACACACACACACACACACACACTCGTAAGCAAGAGCACTCATCTTAAAGCACCAGTACATGACCCCAGCCAAGTTGAGAGTCTGATTGAGCCTCTCCTAAAACACTGGAGGCTTGCAGGCAGTCGATAAATAAGTCGATGGCGGCCGAAAGGGGCCCGCGACCACACGCACGGCTTCCGAAAGGGGCCCGCGACCGATGGCTGGCATGTACTGGTGGTTTTTAAGGTGGACTTCTTACTTAGATGCTTTCAGCAGTTATCCCCTCCGCGCTTGACTGATTGCAAAAAAGATTCATTATCTCCTATTCTTGGAATTAACTCGGAAGAGTCGGAACCCCTCGCCTTCCCCTGAATCCCCTTTCCTTCCTCCCTTCCCTCGTGTGGTACAACTAAATGCTGAAGGGGAGGGAGGAAGGAAAGGGGATTCGGCATATGTATAAGGCTATGAGCATCATTAAGAGAACAGGCAAAATATAAGCTGAAGATTTGCTGAAAAGGAACAGGAGTATATCTCCTCATTTACTCGGGCCAGGTACAGCACACGGGGATGTGGGGCGGCTTGCGCTCAACCACAATCAACGTGGCAAGCCTTGCATGTGAGAGGCATTGTAGTAGGGGAGCCGCGAGAAGAAATAAAAGGGGTGCCCCAAAGAAAGCCAAACGAAGGAAAATGAAGAAACCCAAAATAGCAGTTTTAGTGTTGCTTCATGTTGTTTGCTATAGA